ACAATATGCGTCCGCGTGTTTGGAATTTCACAGGCTGCAATGCAGGTAAATGAACTAAATAAATAGTTAAGGTCATCTTCAAGGTTGAAACTCATTTCACCCTCGTATGTCCGGACATGTACGTGTGTCCAGCATGCTCTTCAAAGTTCAACTGTCTCCACAATCTGGACTTCCCCAAATCCAGATCACATGGGCCCTACATAAAACTCCATCCCACCATGCACTCTTTCGTTTTCGTGTCGGACTCTCCTTTTCCTGCTCAGCTTTCTGCCATAGCAGGACATTTTTCGTTGTGGCCCTCTTCTATAAATCCGAATAATGCCCACCCCACCTTCACCATGTGTCAACACCGGCAAAAAATGGTCGTGTGTTACTACGGGCAAAAGGCGAGAAATGCCACGAGCAGGTCACAAAGCGCTAAAGTTCCTCTCCCATATCTCTCGTTTTCGTTGACCACTGTGATTCTCCTCTCCCATCTCTCACATTTTCATTGACCACTATGATTCCCTAGCATGCTTAAGTTTTGACGATCTAATGGGAAGGCCAAATTAAAGCAATTCCAAAAGAGAAGCAAATCATATGATCTAAGAATTAGATGTATTTTGTTTTAATTACAAGAAACATCATATTGGGTCCATGAGCCTCTTTCTTCGATGTAATCTCATAAATAATGCAAGAGAGACATGATGGCCTTTCTTCGATGTCAATCAATTAGTTGAAAGAAAACTTAAGCGATACCACTCACAACTAACTAAAGTGAAAAATAAACTCGATGAAGGTGCAAATTCTTGTATAGAAAAGAATAAAATCTTTTCCTTTAGAAACATAGACCGTCTTAAATAACATCTCACGAAAAAAACCTCTTAAATAGCATGTCCGCTCGCGCGTAGGACCTGGGACGCCGCCGCCACCCATTGCTCTGCGACACCACGGCCGCCGCCTCCGTCATGTGGAACGACAGAGAAGCTCGAGCACGGCTGAATGGAGCGGTTCCAGACGCCGGTTATGCGGAGCATCTCCGCCCAAGCGCTGGCCCAGGACCGCTGCCGCCACCTACCGCTCAGAGATGTTGCGGTCGCCGCCGACGCCACCCGCTGCTTCACGATGCCGCTATGACTGTCACCACCGCGAGGAATTTCCAGGAGTTATTCCTCATTTTATTATTGCTCGCCAGATTATTTTCAGTTCAACAACTGTCTTGCTCAAATTTCATATCATATGGCAAACTATTTAATTTCAAGAAATACAAAAGAGGTCTAATGGACAATAATTCTATTACCGTCATACATCAAATTTCATATTCACCGGTCGCCGCCTCCGTGGAGGCTCCTACGACACATCAACAAAATAAGGATTGAGTGTGGACGAGCTGAATCGGGCGGGTGCTATAGGGCAAACGACTTTAAATCGTCAGGGGAGAGCGTGACGTCGCAGCTCCTCCACCTCCTCCTTCCCGCCTAATCCTCGAGCTTCCGCGGAGCGGGCTGACGTCGTTGTCGGGGGTCAGGGTCGCTCACCATGGGCGGAAGAAGGGTGACATCCATAGGCAGGTCGCCGCCTCCCTCCCGAGGAACGCCCGAGAAGCTCGAGCATGGCTGAATGGAGCGGATCTAGACATTGGTTGTGATGAGCATCTCCCCCCACGCGATGGCCCAAGATCGTCGCCGCTACCTACCGCTCTGAGATGTTCCGGTCGCCGTCATCGACACCCGTTGCTTCGCGATGCCACTGTGGTCGCCACCAACGTGAGGAATGTCCGAGAAGCCACTCTTCATTTTATTATTGCTTGCCAAAATATTTGTAGCTCAACAACCGCCATACTCAAATTTCATATTCTATGGCAAATCATTTAATTTCAAGAAACACAAAGAGGTCTAATCAGCAACAATTCTATTACTGTCATACATCAAATTTCATATTCTCCGATCGCCGCCTCCGTGGAGGCTCTTGCGACACATCAAGAACAGAAGGACCGAGTGTGGAGGAGTCGAATCGAGCGAGTGTTGTAGGGCGGATGACTTTAAATCGTCAAGGGAGAGCATGACGCCACAGCTCCTCCACCTCCTCCTTCTCGCGTGGTCCTCGAGCTGCCGTAGAGTGGGCACACATCGCTGTCAAGGGTTGGGGTCAGTCACCATGGGGGAAGAAGGGTGACACCCATAGGTAGGTGCACATGGTGGTGTGGGCTGCTTGATATAGAAACTCTAGTCAAGGGAGAGCAAGAGTCGACCGGCGGAGCCGTAACCTCATTCTATAGGAGGATCCCTATGTGGTGGGGAATCGACCACTGAAGAGAGAGAGAGAGAAGAGAGGCTTATGCGATGCATGCTAAATCAAGAATAAAAAAAATCAATATACCGGTGGTAGGGGAACGATAAAAAATCAGTGGGGTATTCCTTCGATTGATGGGAGTCGTGGGAACCAAAGAGGACTACTATGCATTGCCATTTAATAATAGATTGTCCTTAATAATAAAGAGAGAGATTATAGGCATGTGATTGATTCATTTCCATAAATGCGGTCTTGTGTTATCAAACATTGATTCATTTCTGTAGATTTTGTCTTTGAAGATTGATTAGAGATCACTATGATTTTTTTCAATAATGACATTACTAAATATGCCGAAGATCGATCTACATGATTTGTGTAGATTTCGAAGATAAAAACATGATTAAGTACATTAGTGGGCTAAAAGTCGGTTAAATAAATTGGTGGCAGAGGTTTAACCGGAATGAGGCAACATTGCCAACTCATCATGGCGTATAGGTTTGTGTCAACTCTGATAGTATTCCGAGTACAAAATAATAGATTGGTCATAGAAACAATGAATCAAAAAAGGAACCAAAAAATAAAACTTAGAGAAAAAACGCGTGCACGCGTCAAATGGGCCAGCCAACATTGATGATAGTTGATGTTTTTGTAAGATTTGATTTGATTTTGGTATGAGTAGTGGAAGGCAAGTAAAGTTTGGTTTTAGCTAAGATTTTGTTAAGACTTGATTTAATTGAGTTAATGACGTTGTTTTGGAAAAATACCCTTTTATCTTGTTTATGGAAAGTGTTGATTATAATAGCATACTGAGCAGAAAAAAAGATGTTGGTAAAAATAGTTTTTTTAGTCTAAACATACTTTACTTTATTGAGTAAACAAGTTCATGGGGATACAATGTAAGTCTGGTGAGTTTAAGAGCCATACATGTCGCCCGAACTCCAGACCAAAAGCATGTTTAGCGAGGCTATGTGTCTCGAAATTGGACTCTCGCCCTTCGAAGATGAAGGAACAATGCTGAAAATTCCTAGATGTTTCCAAAATCTCTTTGATAATGCTTGCATAAACTCCTCCAATATTGTTCTTGATATCATGAACCGCACCTTGGCAGTGTGGCCACCAGCACATGCGATAGCGCAAGACCCGTGGCTAGCGCCAGAGCTTCACGACACGCTAATGCCTCTAGGGTGGCTGGGTCAGAAATTCCCCTAATACGGATGACTGAAGATCCCATATATGTTCCGGCTGGATCTCTGGAAACTGCACTAAATGTACCTTAATTGAGATCACGTGCGACTTCACCGTCCACTCTAATTTTCGCCATCCCAAGAGGTGGAGGGATCCACCTTGGGTGCCCTTGGCGCCGTGGCTCAGGAGCCACCATGGTCTTCTTTGGCTTACAATCCTTTAGCTCCCTCACGTATTTCATGATAAATTTATGTGTCGCTTGGGGGCTTTGGAAACATGTTCATGCAAGGCCTGCCTTTTCGCATGCCGGATTGACCATAGTGTCACTACTACCTGCACTAGTGCAGGATGCTGCTAACGCGACACTATGATCAAAGACCCTTCGAGAAACTATGTGCGATGCAATAATCGCAAACGGTGGTGTCAGAGAACCGTAAAAAATGTCCAAAACATTTGCAATGACGGATGCATCAAACATGGTTCAGATTTTAGTTGCATGTGCGATGCAGGGCATACGGTTCAGTTCAATTAACTGTTTGCGATGAGGAGTAACAAAAGAAACAGGCAGCCAGATGAAGGCGTGTGCGATACACAACATACGGTTCACTAGGATGAACTATTTGTGATTAGGCAACACAAAAGAAACGGTGGCTTAGGGACGCGCTTGTCCGAAATGTGGGGTAAGTTATGAAAGTACCCCCACTGATTTGAGGTGGTTCTTTCGGTTCAGGGGTATCACGGGCATTTCACATGTCGGATTTTACAAGAGGTGGGAGTTTTCGCGCGCTGTAATTTTGTAATAGCAAGGCACGAGTTGAGATGGAGGGAGTTGTCGGAGCACAACGAGACAATGATATATCGTAAAATGCCCTCCATTTTCTACACATCACATCTATATTTACTCTTACTACCATAAGGTTGGATAACACCGATGGCACTGAAGAAGTTTAGCTCTGCATTGCTCTTAGTTGTACCTTGTGCCTGTATCATTGTACTTACACTTATAGCTACTTGGTTATGTAGCATCACTCTTCATCTTATTTTAAATATTCTCCATTTTTTCTTATATTATCACATCTATATTTACTCTTAACAAAATGTAGAATAAAGGCAATGCTTATGAAG